AATAAAAATTTTTATTTAATAATGTCTAAACTTTTTTTTTTAAACTTTTTTAAAACTTTTTTGAGATTTAATTTTTATATACTATTATTAACATTCATCATTATTATTACAAAAAATAAAGAATATAAAAAAATAATCATTATTGTAGAGATAAAATTTAATTTTTTTCTTGGAGTTTTATTAAGACATTATCAATAATGAATTTCACAGTCATGGCGGCAGATAGTGATGGTGATCTGATCGAGACGGTGGTAACCTGTGAGGGTGATCTTGGAGATCCCGAGTTCCCTCGAAAGTTTGAAATTATTGTCGATCATCTCAATACCTTACTTTGTAAAAGTAAATAATTTAATTTCATATTATTATACAGTATTAATTATTAATGTTAATAATATTTGTTGTATAATGATTATTAATAAGCAAACGATATACAATTTACAGAAAAAGGAGATGGTCTGAGAGTAAATAAAATAGAACCATGGAATTCAGTCAGAGTAACATTTTCGATACCCAGAGAAGCTGCTTTGCGGCTTCGAGAGTTAGCAGCTCAGGGTTCTCCAACACTTACACAACTTGGCATACTCTCAGTACAAGTCGAAGGAGATCAGGTAATTTATACATTCGATTGGATTTTATAGATTTACAAATGTACATACATTTTAATAATACCATTTTTTTTTAATTCCTGTAAAGAAAAAAGAATGATTGTTAAATGAGACATTTTTTGCAGGTAATATCTTTAAGGATAGCCAGTCGCTTCGGTGGAGATGCGCAAGAAATTGTGCTACATTCTGGAACTACGCAAGATGGTGGAGCAAAATCACAAGGAGATGCTACTAATATAGCTGCTGCTGACAGTAACCCTTCAACGGCTTTGCCTGGTCCCAGCAATGCTACCAGCATTTCGTCGACGCTACATAATGTTGCTCAGATAATAGCAGCTGGTAAATTCTTACAAATTATAAATGATCTAAACAAAAAAAAATATGTACATAACGAATGATGTTATATAAATTTCTTTGTGTTTTCAGGAACATCATCAGAGAAAGCTCCTCAGTTTCGTTCTCCAAATGTAGTCGCGCCCACAGACTGTGATCCTATTCCACCGTTTCTTGCGAAATCGGCACAGTCCACATCAGCGGGCAACACTGGTGTTTCCGGAAATCAGCAAGTAATTAATCCTAGTGCATCGCCCAGAAACAACTACAATGGTCCTTTCCCATTTGCCAGTATGACACACGCTGCCCAAGCAATACACAATCGCGAATCGCAGTCTACAACTATCAAGAATACGATGCAGTTCAAGCATCATGCACAACCGCCACCACCATATCCATCTCAAGAAAATTTGGCCACAGTTACGGCATTGACGACCGGTCACACGACAACACAACCAGTCGTTACTGTTGGACAGTTAACGAATCAGTACAAACCCACGACGATTGCTACAACATCTAGTCTGTCACCAAACAACAGTACCAATTTGGCAGGGAGTTCGAACGGTAGCGGGAATCAGGTCGCCCTGTCCAGTCCGTTACTTGTGAATCTTTTACAAAATGATGCTGGTTCACATGCGAATAACGTTATACCTGGTCAAAAAATGTTACCGCCAGCT